TGAGAAAACATCAGAGGGACCAGGGTGAGGTCATCCCAGAAGGAAAGGCTCTCAGGAGGCCGAAGGCCCAGAGACACTGAGCGCTTTGAACATTAAGCCAGTTTTGCTTACATTCCTGGAATAAACCATCATGCTTCATCTTCTGTGAAATACCTTTTCATGTCTCTTGCTCGGTTTTATTTCAAGGTGTGTGTGTGTGTGCGCGCGCGCAAGCACAGACTTTAAAAATTGGTTTAAGGAATTCTTTAGTTCTTGATACCAATCTTGATGATTTTGGTAATGTACCCTTTTATTTCCTTTAAGTTGTTACTTTGCAAACAGAAGTTTTTCATTTGTTATGGTCAAATGTGTCAATCTTTTCCAGTTCGTGCTTTGTATGCTTATTTAAGACTTAAGTGGGACTTTCTTGGTGGTCCAGTGGTTAAGACCCCATGCTTCCAGCGCAGGGTGCACGGGTTTGACCGCTGGTCAGGGAACTAGATCCCACCTGCTGCAACTAAGAGTTCATATGCTGCAACTTATGATCCCGGTGCAGCTAAATAAATAAATAAAAATTTAAGAATATTCATCTATATATTTCATTTAGTTTTAAAAGATTGGGGTGGGGAACTGTTCAAGTCCTTAAACCACCTAGAATAGATTTTTTTTAATAATTAATTCAAAATAACTTTAAACATAAAGAAAAATTGCCAGAACATTACAAAAAACTCCCACATGCCTTCATCCAAAGATTCCCCGGTTTTAACATTTGACTATGTTCTTCCATGACTGTCTATTCATCCCCATTATCGCTATTCCTTTTCTGAAATGTAAGAGAGCAAGCTACAGACATGAGTCTCTCATCTCTCCTAAGTACTCCAGTGTGTGAACCCCCCAAAGTGAGGACGATCTTGTCTGTGATCACCCCACAACTCTCCAACTGTGAAATCAACATCAGTACCAACCGATGTCCAATTCACAAACCACAATCGAATGTTGCTAACTGTCCCAACAATTTCTCTGACTTTTGTGACTTAGGATCATGCTAGGAAGACAGCGTGCACTGCAGCTGTCTGTGCTGTCCCAGTGTGAATGGGGGCTGCAAAGATAACTCGATCTATGATCAAGCACACCTTTGCTGTGTGAACTCTGCATCTTTGTTTTGTGCATGGTTCTGTGCACATATTTCATGATAAAAATGTTGATTTTTAAAAATAAAGTATGTATTATTAAGTAGGAAGCTAATCACACTCATACATTCCAAACACAACACTTGCTCCCAGGATTCAGATTTCTGCACTAAAATCAAATTTCTTCAGCCGTTAAGCCCTAGAAGTTTCAACTAACTTTAAAGTGGTGATCAAAAATGAAAAGTCACCTTACCAAACAGTAGATGCAAAGGGAGAATCAAGCCTCTCAAAGCTGATTTTTATTAGGACCCCTAGCAACATACATCTGCAAAAATTCCCTCTCCCTCTTAATTCATATACATATTTCAATATAGTATAGTTGTCGACATTTTAAATAAAATATAAGACATATACATTCATATTTGCATTTTGATTAAGGATTTTAGTTGAAGGTATAAAAATGACAGAGCTTCCCTGGTGGCTCAGTGGTAAAGAATCTACCTGCTAATGCAGGAGACCAGGGGTTCAGTCCCTGGGTCAGGAAGGGCCTCTGGAGAAGGGAATGGCAACCCACTCCAGTATTCTTGCCTGGAGAATCCCATGGACAGAGGAGCCTACAGATAAATCTCATGGACAGAGACAGGCTACAGTCCACGGGGTCGCAAAGGAGTCAGACACGACTTAGAGACTCAGCAGCAACAAACAACAACCTGGGTCAGGAAGGGCCTCTGGAGAAGGGAATGGCAACCCACTCCAGTATTCTTGCCTGGAGAATCCCATGGACAGAGGATCCTACAGATAAATCTCATGGACAGAGACAGGCTACAGTCCACGGGGTCGCAAAGGAGTCAGACACGACTTAGAGACTCAGCAGCAACAAACAACATAAAAATGACAGACTGAATATAAGAGAGACACGTACTGTTAGACCGATCCATTCTAATATAGCAGTGGACTTTTTTCTGACCCAATAAAAAGTAGAATTTCCTAGCTAGCCCTGGCAATTGCTCTTGCAAATAATTTCACAGGCATTTTTTTTTAAGTGGCAGCATCTGGAAGGTCCACTTATGACGGATTGGTGGAGAGAGTTGGGAAATGGGCTGTCCAGCATTTTGCCCTGTTGCCAATGCAAGAACACACGCACCCTCACCAGGTGTGTGGAACACTGCCTGCCTGAGCACTGAGACGGGGGCCTCAGGACCACGACTGAGAAGGAAAGGCAGTGCCAACCAGACAGACCATGGTCTCTTCCTGGTAGACTTGGGGGCAAGGAGTTTTGCATATTCACGTCTTAATTATGCAGACTGACTTCCAGGGTTCAGTTTGATATATAGATCCAAACCACTGACTTTTTTTCCCTTTTATCCTGAACAGTATTTGTTTCTTTAAGTTTAAATGAAATGATTTATCAAAAGGAAACATGTGCACTGCAAGAAGGCGCCTGTAACTAGCATCCTTGTATGGACTTTATTCCTTGGGCGGCACCTCCACAGTCTTCTAGAAAACCTCCTGTTCACAAAACCCCCAAGGGTGAAAACCACCTTGGAGACCATGTCCTAGTCCGATGTCCTCGGTTCTTCAGATCACCAAACCGCAACTCAAGAGAAGCAGGGGTAGTGGGGGTAGGAGGGGCGGACTGACAAGGATCATCACAGCACTGACAACGCAAGGCCTGGTTACCGCGTCTCCCCACTCCAAGTCCACCGCTCTTCCGCCTCAAGTATGATGTGGAGTGGACGTTTCAAATTAAGAAAAGAAAGGAGGAAACTTTCTTCAAGTCCACCTTCAACCATGGGTATTGCCCGCAGTGTTCGCCAAGAGCCAGCATGCGTTGGCAACTAGGGATTTCATCATCCTTTAACTAAGGAATTAGGGGAAAACAACCTCACAAGCAGTACCAATTGCGGAACGACCTGGACTTTTAAAAATAAAAATAATTAAAAAAAAAAACCCAGCATCTGCTTTCAGCCATTCACCCCCTATCATTTATGCGTGGTATTGACTACTCTCACTTTCCAAACGACCCACAGCAGCGAGGGGAGGCTGGGCTGCAAGTGGACGAAAGTGGCGAGGAGGCCCGCGGGGGTCCCAGGGGCGGCGCCCCTCCCCCCTCAGCACCCGCCCACCAGACGCCGGCGGTTGTGCGCATGCGCAGACCGCCCGCACCCCGCCCCCCGACTTCACTCTGCTTTATTTAGGCCTTCAGTTCTGCCTGCTCTCACGCCCCCAGCGCCCCAAGTTCGGATGACAGGGGGCGGGGTGGGGGAAATCCCAGGGCACTCTTGGAAGCTCCTGAGTGGGTGGGCAGGAAAAAAGGCAAGGACGTTGAGGACAAATAAATCCTTTTCCCGCCGCCCCCCACCGCGGGCCCCGCAGCAATCTGGGCCGGGCGCGGGCGCCCCAAGTCTGGGCCGAGCGTGGTCGGAGCGCGCGCGTGAGGCCCCGGGGGTGGGGCGGGGCCGTGGGCGGGACCTGCGGCGGCTCCCCGAGGCCACGCCCCTCGGACCAACCTCTCGCCTCGCCATTGGAGGGCGTGGGGGGCGGGTCCCAGGGACACCCCCCTCTCGCCACCGGCCCCCGCCCCGCCCCCCGGCCGCCCACGTTTTCGGCTCCTCCAGGAGCCCTCCCTGCGCAGGGAAAGGAAACACCCGGGGCGGCTACACAACCTCGGGACGCTGGAAAGGCGCGCCCCCCTGCCCCGCCTCCCAGACCATAGGCCTGGAGATGTCAGGGAGGGTGGGACACGGGGCCCCGCCCCCAGGCCCCCATCTCTGGGTGCGGGATCCGGCGGGCGTGGGTAAGGGCCCCCAGTGCCGCAGTCAGGCCCCGCGCTCCCCTTTAGCGCGTCACCCTCCACTGCCCTTCTTTCGCCCCTTCTTCCCCTTTCCCCGTCTCTGCATCCCCGAAGAGACGCGAGCGCCGAAGGCGCGGCTCCGGGGGGCAGTGAATTCGACTCGATGTCACCTTAACCACTTGCATAGCTGCTGCTCACTTAACATCTCGTTTTCTCCTGTAATTTGGGGAGATTTAAGGGGTCGTTTTTATTTTTCATTTCTTTTTTCTCTTCATGAGCTTAAAGTTGGCCGACTCCTTCCTTAGCCTGTGATGAAAGAAGCTAGAATTTAGGCTTCTCTTGGTGCAGAGAAAGGGAAGGAAACCAAAGGTTAACCGCGTTTAGGAAGAAAACAGCTCTGTTCCTTTCTCATGCTTAACTCACGCTGCTGGGTAGCAGCACCTCTCAGGGGCACAGGCGCAGCTGCAGAAGTGCTTGGTTGCAGAGAAGGCTGCGTCTACAAGGGTTTGCGCCGGAGCACCAAAACAGTGCAGGTGTGTGTGGATCCGGGTGTGCGTGTGCGTACGTGAGGTACGTGTGTGCGTGTTTGTGCGGCCCAGCAACAACAAGAAAACCTCAAGAGGCGCATCAGGATCAGAAAGAACCCCTCACACCAGTGATCGCCTCGGAAATGTCCCAAAGGTCTGAGAGTTAGTAAATCCCTTGATCCGAAAATCGCCTTTGCGGAGCTCCTTCCTGCCGGCTCTCCCCGCTCCCCAAGATAGGTGACGCCGCGTCTCTAGAAGCGGCCTCTTGCCCGCGCGGGCATCACGGAGGGCACGCGGTGCACATTTCAGGGGCCCCGCGGGTGCAGAGTAAACCCCGGGGCCCCGGCGTGTGCGCGCGCTCCGGGCCCTGCGTGCGGGAGGGTCTGGGGCGCTCAGCTGGGCTCGCGAGCACGCGCGTGTGTGTGCGTGAGTGTGTGCTCACGCGCTCCAGGCCGTGCCCCCGAGCCCAGCCGCAGGGTTGGAGAACGCGAGCAGGCCAGCGCAGGGGGCAGGCGGGGGTGTCAGATTCTTAGAGCTGAGCTGTTTTCCCCTCCAGCTCCCGCTCCTCTGAACCCCGCTGCAACGTAGGGAGGGGGCTGGATTCGCCCAGGAGCTGGTGGAGAAGCGGGCTGAAACAATCGAGTGGGCGCGCCAGGACTCCCCGGCTGCAGGCGGGGAGGGGAGAGGGAGCCCCGGTTCTGCGCAGAGAGGGGGCGGGGTTGGGGGGCCCCGAGAACAGCGAGGAGGCGGGGGTGGCCGCCGAGCTGGGGAAGCGGTCCCCCCCCAACTCCCGGGAGGCGAGAACTCGTTCGGACAGCACACTAATTGGAGATAACTGATTAATTCGAGCTTCTGATGACTATAAATGGCGATTCTTTACCAAGGTGTCTTTATTTAAAAAAAAAAAAAAAATCGTTCCGTGTCATCCCCCACGTCAGGCCGGCTCGTGGGCGTGAGGCTGTACTTCCTCCGCCCCCTCCTAATGGAGTGAACCATTCCCAGCTCTCCCCCTCCCTCGGCCTCTCTCTCTCTCTCTCTCTCTCTTTCTCTCCCTTCCTCGCTCCCTCTCTTTCTCTCCTCCCTCTGCCTTCTCCGTGCATAAAGTCTCCGTCGCTCCTGGAACTTGTTGGCAATGCCTATTTTTCAGCTTTCCCCCGCGTTCTCCAAACTAACTATTTAAAGGTCTGCGGTCGCAAATGGTTTGACTAAACGTAGGATGGGACTTAAGTTGAACGGCAGATATATTTCACTGATCCTCGCGGTGCAAATAGGTAAGTGGACGGCGGGCCGAGCTCGCAGAGGGCGGCGGGCAGCCGGGCCCGAGGCACCCGGGGGGACTGACTGACCCGCGGTCGCCCGGGAGTGCGGAGAAGCCGGCAAACCCCCAGGGATGGGGGCATCGGCTCCTAGGGACTGGCGCGTCCCGGGTTGGTTTTGCTAAAAAAGAGAGAGAGAGACTCCAAATGTTCGCCAGGAAGTGTGTGCGGCCGGGTGTTTTCTGGAGGGATTTTCCCCTCTTTTTACAAAGCGCACGTCCGTATTTGCTGCTTTCTCTTGGGTGCACCAGGTTTGGTGCACTTTGGGGAAATGCATTGCTCCCTGCCATGCTGCAAGGTTTTATATTGAAGGGTCGAAAGGTGAATGCAGGAACAAGATGGCTAGGCAGCTAGAACTGGAAAGTTTATGTGCAGAATGCAAAGATATTCTGGGGCTCCGACTGCTGCATTTAGAACTTTGTCATTCTCCCGCCGCCCCCCCCCCCCCNTCCGACTGCTGCATTTAGAACTTTGTCATTCTCCCGCCGCCCCCCCCCCCCATATCCTAGCTGCAGCGTTCACACCGGGCACCGCAGACCGGGCTAAGGGGCAAATTGAGAATAAATGGGAACCCCAGAGTGTATCTTCTAATATGCTTATCATTAAGGAGCTTGAGTTCAGCTAAATATATCTGGATATAATTTTCTATGCACATTTGCCTCTTCTTTTCCACACAGGCATCTGTATGTTATATACAGGAAGGGGTTAAGAAGTGTTTGCAATATGTGGTGTTGGGTGCTTGTAATTTTTGTTAGTTTGGAATTGATTATGGATGGATTTATATAGTCCCCATTTTATGTTAAGGAATCTTGAGTCCTAGTTCCACTGTCGTTGGGGCTTTTGAAAGTTCATATTTTTTTTCCCATCCAAAATGAAGAAGGCGCAATGGAAGGGAACAGGAGAAAACCCCCTTCTCTGTTGCTGGGTCAGAGCATTAATTAATGTAGCCTCAAAGTGAAAGTGAAGAAGATTATTAATAGAATGGACAAGAGAAAAAATAGAAACTCTTCAAATGGGTTTTCTGGAGAGGAGGGAATTGTTGGCTCCTATCATTTGAGGCTGTAGCATTCTTTGCAGACAAATCCTTGCAGTATTGCAGGAGGGGGGTGCTTTAGGGAATTGGTTTGTCTGGGGCAAGAGATGAAATACATAACATTTTTCTTCATGGGAAATGTGGAAGAAACAGGCTTTGGAGTTATCTAGTCATTAACATGGATTCTTTGCAATACGTTTTTATGCATTTGACAGGATTTTCTGAATCTGATTTTCTTTTTTGCATGAACATTGTAGGGATTTTAGAGTGTACAGATGCAGGATGTCAGCGGCATTTCCTTTAATTCCAAGAAATGATTTGATGTTTTGAATCTGGCTGTTTTGAATCTTTGACATTCATACAAAGAGCTGCAGTAAATAAAGAACATTTCTGATTGCAACAAATCCCTTAAATCTTGGAAATAAGTGGATGTGGTTTTTGCAATGACTGCAGATTTTTAGAGAGCAGGAGACAGAAGTTGTTTTTTATATAGGGCTTGTAATCGGCAAGGGTTTGGGACTCTGCGTTCCCTGTGAGAAATAACCTTACTTTGAACGGGTAAAAAAGACAGAGACTGTGCATGTGAAATACGCTTGAAACACAGTAACCTCCTCCGGGAAATGACCATTTGTTGGCTGTGGAATTGAAATTGAGCATGTTTGTTCCCGAATGCCTGCCCTTTCCCGAACCGGAGGCTCGATCTTTATTAATTCATGGCTGGGAGCTGTCCCAAATCACTGACATTTGGCAAGAAAAATGGGGGTTGGGCAAAGACGGGGAGGTGGAGGGGTGGTGAAGGCGAATGAAGACTAGGCGGGAGGAAGTTTGGAATGAATGAGAGGTCGAACAAATGAATGAACGGAAGGAGATGGCACAAGACCGGACACGGTGGAGGACAGGGAAGGAGCCCAGGTCACCCGCCCGAGCCTCGGTGAACCAGGGCTCAGGAAGGACAGCAAGGGTCGCCCGGGCTGGGACCTGCCTGGATGCAGGAGCCTTCCAAACGCGCCCCGCGGGCAAGCCCCCAGCCTCCCCAGCCAACGAGAGACCGAGGGGTCCGAGTTGCAAAAGACAGAAATTTTCACGACTTATTTTACACGCGCGCGCACACACATGCGCGCTGTGGAAGGTTTTCCAGCAGCCCCTGAAAACACCGTGACAGGAGCGCTTCCCGCGTCCTCCCCCAGCCCGCTCCCCGACCCCAGAGAACGCAATTCCCTTTTAAACTATTGTCAGTGCATCTTAGGGGCTGCTTTTTCGCCACCGAGTTTTGGGGGTGAAGGTGGGAAGAGACTGGGGACCGGGGAGAGAGGATGGACTCTATTTTATTTCGTTTACTCGCTGCAAAGCGGCGCTTGCAGTGTGGTTTACAGGGGACGCCGCGCAGGGCTCATTTCATCGGCCCTCGTTCTGTTAGAACAAAGATTCGTTTATTCCTTCCTTCTAGCTCAGTGTTCTAGCTGATATTGCAGTCCAAGGGCTCTTGCTATATCGTGGGGGTACTGGGAGATTGACGAAGGTTGACGTATCGGCCCGAGCTTCCCTTTCCGGATTAGAAAGCTTAAGGCCCGCCCCGCTCTCCCTGCAGCAATTTGCAAACGGTGCGCTCTCGGAGGCCTCTGCGGGTTCGGTCACCTTCCCCCTTGCCTGTCCCCGGCCCAGGGACTGGCGGCTGGGGGCGGTGAGGTGTCCGGTCCTCCCCGGAGACACAAGCGAGCCGTGGCACCCTGAAGGCCGCCGGGAAGCAGCGGGAAGCAGCCTGGGCCCTGGAGGCCACTTCTCTCCCCTTCCCTCCCCGGGCAGTGCAGGTCTGCGCTTCGCGTGCGCACTCCTGGCGCCCAACGTGCTTTTGGTTGCTGGTTTAGGCATCTTCAGCCCGGTTCGTGCCGTGGGATGGAGAGAAAGGGCCTCAGCAGCGCAGCCGCCGCTTGGAGCCCGTCTCTCGGGTCCTGTGCCTCGGGGCTTGGCCGACCTGAGACCAGCAGCAAGGACTAGGTGTCCCCTGGGTTTCCTCCTCCACCTGCTGCCACTGCCCGGCTTCGACCCCAGCCCCTCTGGAGGGAGCCCCGAGCCAGAGGCAGAGAGCCCCTGGCGGCAGCCACCCCGGACCCCAGCTGCAGAGCCGGGGCTTGGAGAGGAAGGGTCGTGTCTGGTCTCTGGCTGGCAGAGCAAGGCTGGTTTTTCCCTGAGGAGCTGATCAAGGTGGAGGGAAGCAAGGGGCTGGCCTCGGGGATCTGGCCTCCCCGGGAAGGTGACCCAGGGTCACTAGCTCGGACACATCCTGACCCAGCTGGCCCTAACTGCCCGGGACCACCCTTCCCCCTCCCAGTCTAGGGGGGTAGGTGCTGCAGATGAGGACCTCACTAGGAACTCCATGGTAGAGAATCCCTTTTATAATGAAATAACCCAAGTCGGTGGCTGCTGGGGGCTTCCAGAGAATTTATTTATTCGTTCAGCAGTGCTTGCCCAGCGCCCACTAAGCAGCGGGCCCCGAGCCCAGGGATCTTTCACAAACATGGCACTCGGGCGGGCCGCGGGGCCCAGGCTCTGAGCCACCCAGCCCCTTCCTCACCCCTGCACTGTGCCGTCAGACCCCTCTGTCACCTCACAAAAGGGAAACCGCACTGCGAGAGCCTTGACGGGCCAGCTAGGGGTGTGTTGGGGAAGCCAAGCAGGGAGCGAGGAGAAAGAAAGAGGCGGGGGAGGAGAGAAGAGGGGGCGAAGGAAACCGAAAAAGATGCTGAGAGCGATGCGGGCAGGGGGCGCACGGTAGGAAAGGCTTGGACTCCCCCGACCCCACACCCGCACATACGGGCTACCTGCAGAAGATGCCGGCTGCGTGCCGATTGTTCTCGGCCCCACCATTCATTCACCTTTGGCCCTGGCACGCCTCGAGCCTGGACGCCACTGGACACGGCGGGATGGGGCGATGCGCACTGGGTTCCAGCGGGCAGGCTGCGGGGCTCCCGGGCCGAGCGGAGGCACGGCTGACCAGTGTCCCCTCCTCCCCGCAGCGTACCTGGTGCAGGCCGTGAGAGCAGCGGGCAAGTGCGATGCGGTCTTTAAGGGCTTTTCAGACTGTTTGCTCAAGCTGGGCGACAGCATGGCCAACTACCCGCAGGGCCTGGACGACAAGACGAACATCAAGACCGTGTGCACGTAAGTGTCCTCTCTGTTGCGCAAGGTTTTGGTGCTGGGGGTGGGGAGTGGGTCGCAGAGGTGGGAGGGCGCCTCGCCTCCTGCCTGAGTTCTGTATTTGGCACCAGCGAGAAGCCTCCTCGCCTTCTGCCTCCCACCCTCAGGCCTTGGTTGGGGCCTGCCCTGCCCAAGGGGACCCTGTGGCCTGGAATAGGCAGAGGAGAATCCTTCACTCGGGGCCCAGTCCCACCGTCCACAGCCTGACCCGCGTGCACACAGGTGTGCCACACACTGGAAACGCTGGACGCGGGGTGAGGGGCACGGAGAGCTGCTGGCAGCTCCTCCCCCGGCTTCGAAGCCTCTTCCTCTTCCTCCCCTGCTGCGCAAATGAGCACTTCAACCTAGACAGTTGGTTTGGATTGAGGGGCGTTTTAGGTAGTTCTACCAGTTTTGCCTAAAAGGAAAAGAACTCCCCTATTTTGTCCCCTTCCTCTAATAAAACTCCCCTCTGGCACAGGCCAAGAAACTTCACTGGTAGCAAGTGAGTGCAGATCCCTCTTTCTCTTTCTATGAGAGAAACTGAAAGAATATTTTATTTTGGGCCGATGGCTTTGCCCAAATGTCTAGTAACCATCTCTGCAGAGTTTATAGCCAATTTGGAGCTTTAGGGTAGCTATCCTCCTTGCTTATCCCCCCACTTCCTGCATCTGCAAGGTGTCCCCAGCCCAGGGCAGCTCAGGGCCCAACAAGGACCAAGAAGGAGTTCATGCCAGGCCCAGGAGTGTTTGCCCAGAGCCTGGCTAGAAAGCACAGCTCCCACTGGCAAACGAGGGCAGCACTTGCTGTGGAGGATCAGCCACATCTCAGCTAAGGCAGACCTTAGAAATACCCCCATCTTCTGCAAGGCACATGCACACACACTTTCGTTTTATTTTTCAAAAACAGTTGTAACCCTTCCCACGCCCATCGCGGCCCTTCCGACAGCCCAGGCGAAAGGTGTCCCTGTTTCCCGCGGGTCGCAGTGGCCACTTTCCGCACCCTCTTTTGTATCCTCTGAAGCCCTTCCTCTCTCCTGAATTCCTTGGGGTGGCACGTCATTTGTTAACACTGAGTAATTCGGTGGGGGTGTGTTTTGCTACACGCTTTCTTCAATACCCTGGTGTCCACCAGAAGCCACAGCAGCCCAGGGACAAAAGGCTGGGTCGGGGATGCATACCCACCTGCTTTAATCCTAAATGTCTGATGACAGGGAAGAAAGTACCTATAAAGACGGGCAAAGGCGTAAATAGAGATCAGCTCTCAATTCCTCCATCGTTTGCCAGAATTTAATTGCGCCAAGCGGGTGGTTTTTAGCAGGAGAATGGACATGGGTGGGGCCCTCGGCGGCGGCAGACCACAGCTGCGTCTGAAGGCCACCTCCTCTCCGTGCGGGTGCTCAGTCGCTCAGCCGTGCCGACCCTGCGACCCCATGGACCACAGCCCGCCAGGCTCCTCTGTCTGTGAGGTTCTCCAGGCAAGACTGGAGTGCGTTGCCACGCCCCCCTCCAGGGGATCGTCCCAACCCAGAGATGGAACCCAGGTCTCCCCCGCACTGCAGGCTGATTCTTTGCCATCTGAGCTCCCAGGGACGCCCAGCTCCTCTCAGACCCACCTGGATTCTGTCCTCCTCTGCCCAGTCTCTCTTCCAGAAGACCTGGTCCCCATCTGGGCATGCATAAAGAAAGGAGAGATTGAAATCTCCTTTGGGAGGTGTAATTATGCAGAGAGCTGTCCTGCCGCCTCTCCATTTCTCTAAATCTCAGTATTTATTACAAATTGAGGAACCTGGAAGGCCTGTGCCCCAGGCCCTGCAGTCCTCATAAATTAGAGACTCACTGAGGTCATTAGAAAGCAGCCGGAGCTCAAGGCAGTCCAACAGACCTTTATAACTTGACTGTCTGCCAGAAGACGGGGTGGGAGTGGAAACCGGAACAAAGCCTGCCTTCAGCGCGCTTACAGTCCCGGCCGGTGAGCAGAAGGGGTGGGGGCGGGGAGGAAAGGACGCACATATTTCGTGGAGGGCCCTCGCTGGTGACCTGACGCCAAGGGTGCTGGCGAAGGGGGAGCCAGACCGGAGTTAGCAAGACGGCACGGATCGACCCAGCCCCGAAAGGAGACAGCGGCCCAGGAATCGATCACGGGTTGGAATTATATTTAGTCTGGAGATCTATTTTGGGTTTTCAGAGGAAAAGGGGGACAATTAAAAAAAAAAAAAAAAAAGGAGAAGTCGGATGAAGGTTGTGGGGGCGGGGCTAGGAGCCGAGCTCGGGAGAATCGAGCGGCCGAGGAAGGCGCGGGCTCCGGAAGAGGCGAGCAGGGAGGACCGGGAGCCGGGCCCCGCGAAGGCTGGCGGGGCGGGCAAGACGCCGGCCCCGGGCCCCGGGCCTGGGTGCGGGGGGCTGGCACCACCTCCCGAAGGCCGCGGGGGTCCAGGGCCGCGAAAAGGCCTAGGGGTGAGGGGTGGGGGAGAGCAGGGACTCAACGAGCGGGGCCTGAGCTCTAGGGGTTAAGGAAGCTGGAGAAGACGAGGGAGCCGGTCCGGGGTCTCGGGCGCTGGCACTCACCGACCCCGGGGAGGCGGAGGCAGGCGGCCGTCTCCGCACCGGATCCGAGCCGGGAGGGCGAGGCGAGGCGCCGCGGAGAACCGAAGCGAGCGAGGAGGAGGAGGGAGAGAGGAAGGGACCCGGGGGGAAACCCGAGGGAAGGGAAAAGGAGGAGGACAAAGAAGGGGAGAGAAGGGAGGCGAGGTGAGCGGGAGACAAAAGGCGGAGCGGAGGAGACGGAAGGCCGAGGCGAGCGGGCGCGGCGGCTCGGAGACGCAGGGAGGAGGAGGAAGGGCGAGGAGGGGCGCGGAGCCGCGGGGAGGGCCGCGCGCCCCGCCGGCCGGCCGTCCTACAAGCTGAGAGGCATTAATGGGCGGCAGCTTGCGCGGCTTAGCACTGTTTTCCTAGCTGTGCCCGCCGAGGCCTACAATCTGTCAGCGCAGGCCCAGGTGCCAGCGCGGCGCCGCGGGCGCGGAACCCGACCGGGAAGGGGCGGCCCCACCTTGGACAGCGGCTCCCGGGAAGGGCTGAGGTCCCGGAGTCGGGGGTCGGGGGGAGGAGGGGGGCGCAGCGGGCCCCGCCCGGCGCCCGAGGGCTGCAGGGAGACTGGGCGCCGGGAGCTTGGCCGGGCCGCGAGGGGGACACCTGGGGGGGCGCAGGCCCGGGGTCCAGCCCGCGCTCACAGTGAACCTCCTGCTCTGTTCTGTTCCTCGCCAGATACTGGGAGGATTTCCACAGCTGCACGGTCACAGCCCTTACGGATTGCCAAGAAGGGGCGAAAGATATGTGGGATAAACTGAGAAAAGAATCCAAAAATCTCAACATCCAAGGCAGCTTATTCGAACTCTGCGGCGGCGGCAACGGGGCGGCGGGGCCCCTGCTCCCGGCGCTGCCCGTGCTCCTGGTGTCTCTCTCGGCAGCTTTAGCGACCTGGCTTTCCTTCTGAGCTCCGGGCCGGCTCCCCCCGCGCGCGCCCGCACTCACGCCATGCTCCCGGAAACCGAGAGGAAGATCCATGCGTTCTTTGGGGACGTTGTGATTCTCTGTGATGCTGAAAACCCTCATATGGGAATTGTGGGAAATCCTGATTCTCTTTCTGATTTCGTTTGGTTCCTTGTGTTCCATTTGCCAAATGTTACCGATCAGTGAGCAAGCGAGCACAGCCAAAAATCGGACCTCAGCTTCAGTCCGTCTTCACACAGAAACACGAAAACGGCAAACCCACCCCATTCTTTTTTTTTTTTCCTTTTTATTTTTTTGGCACAAGAATCTCAGGAACGGCCCTGGGCCGCCTACTATATTAATCATGTGAATACATGACCAATGATGGGCTCCTCCTAACAGGAAAGAGGAGAGGAGAAGGCCAGGGGAATGCATTGAAGAGAGCAGCATCTCGTGAATAATTCACGCTCACTGTCTTTCTAACACAGAATCTTGTTTTGATCATTTCCACTGCACATTTCTCCTCGAGAAAAGTGAAAGGACAGATGGTTGGCCTTGTGTTTCAAGGCTAGGATGGGGAGAGCGAGGGAGTTGAGGAAACCTCGGGTCAGAGGTACAGGCTGCCAGAAGCACCGCTGCTGAAGTCACTGAGAGGTTAAGCTTTACCTGCTCGTTGATGCATCTTTCAAAGTCCACTGCCTTGGTTTCCCTCTTGTTTTAGCTGTTCCACATACGGTAATACCTGAATATCCAACGGTATAGATCACAAGGGGGGGGGGATGTTAAATGTTAATCTAAAATATAGTTAAAAAAAGATTTTGACATAAAAGAGCCTTGATTTTAAAAAAAAGAGAGATGTAATTTAAAAAGTTTATTATAAATTAAATTCAGCAAAAAAAAAAGATTTGCTACAAAGTATAGAAAAGTATAAAATAAAAGTTATTGTTTGAAATAGGGGTGTCCTCTGTTTCCTGCCCCAAGCCTGCTTTCTTGGCCGAGTTCTCTCGGGGTTCCCTGGAGGGACACAGGATGCCAGGTGGTAAATTCGCCAGCTCACCAGTCACCTGATAACCTACCGTCCTCAAGCCGAGGGTTACCAGAACATCTTGCCACGTCCCTGAAATCGTGTTTACTTAAGAAAAAGGGGAAGCTATGTTTTACTTCTGTAAGCCAAACGGCAGGGGTCCTTCCTAGCGGAGGTTTGAGGGCGCTGGCCTTGCGCGCCTCTGAGGACGCACACGCGGACCCACGCGGGTCGAAAGCTCGAGCTCCTGCCTGCGGGCCGAGCCCTGCTCGCGACTCGCCGCTTCCTCTGCGGTGGCCGGAGGCAGCTCTCGGAGGAACCACCATTAAGGGCTCCAGGGGAGGGGCCAGAGGCGTCGTCCCTGGCAGGGATCGGGCGAGTCCTTTCATAATTAATAAGACAGCTCAGCTGAAACGGCGAGGGCCCCATCGATCCGGCCGGCGAGCTGCTTCCACCTCTCCTATTTTTGGCCCGCGTGGCCTCACGGAGAAGTAAGGGCCCGCGAGTAAACGCGGCGGACCAGCCCGGGGTCCGGGACGGCCAGGGGAGGGCAGGCTGCGGGAGGCAGAGCCGATTGTGGGCCCCCGGGTTCCGGGGCGGCGAAGTCGGATTTCCTGGACAAAGTGAGGGTGGAGGTGGAGGTGGGGGTGGGCGCGGAGGCTGGAGGACCTCGAGGGAGGCTGCGGAGGCGGCCGCGGGTACCCGCGCCGGCTCCTAAGGGGGGGCGCGGGGGCCCTGAAATGCAATGTGTAAACAATCGCTGGAGTAACCGTTCATAAATCAAACCCAGTGGGTCGCAGCGCAATCTGCATTCCCCCCACGGATTGCATTCCAGCAACACATGCGCCCCTGCGCCCCGAGCGCTGGGAAGCGGCGAGGATTCTGAACGGCGGCATCTATTAGCGCGGCCGGTCCACGCACGCGCCGCGCCCGCCCCTGCGGGGAACAGTCCCTCGCCGCCTGCCCAACCAGCCCGCTGCCCTGCCCATCCCTAGTCTCAGGCCAAAGCCATGGAGATCTAGCTGTCTGTGCGCAGTGGTCACCCACCGAGGAACTCTGGTTGTTTGGCAAAATAGACTTTGGTTCTAGTCTTTTCAATGGAAATTTTCGGTCTCGGTATAAAAGGCACGATTCTAACCTGAGCTCAGCGCCTGGAATTCAAATTAAAATGTCTGAGCCTGTTTTAAATACGAATCTACTTAATGAGGAAGGGAGGGAGGAAAAGAAAGAGGGTTTACACAGGCCATTCTTGCTGTGACATCTTCCCTCCTAGTCATGCCTCTTCCTGCCCCCCAAACGGGGGCGAACCCGTGCGCACCACTGGGCCCCTTGCTCGCCAAAGGAAAACGCACGCGGCATTTTCCCCGGGCTTGAGGGGACCGGGGCAGGGGGGGAGACCCCCGGGACACAAGGAAGACGCCCCTCCCCGCCACGGCGCGGGCTTCCCCCCTGGGAATCGACCTCTTCCGAGGTCTGGAAGGAGGCAAGGCGGAGGGAGGGGGCTCCGTCGCCCTCGTCTCCAGGACCTGGTGTTCCTGCGGCCTCCCAGGCGGGGCTGCCCTCGAAGGAGGCCTGTCCCGAATCGTCCCGGGACTCCCTCGCCCTGCCCCAGGCCGCGGGCCCACGCTCACGTGCTCCTGAATGGAGCCCAGGTTCGCGGGGCGCACCTGACGGGTTAGAGGCCATTCCTCCTAGTTGCAGTGATTGTTCAGTTATTATCACGCCGTCTTCGACTGTAATTTGTTTAACCATGATGACATCTCCATATGTTAGCTGGTGTTACGTTGTTTTTTTTTTTTTAAAGCAGCATCGCAGTAAGCCCTGATCCCAGCTCAGGGAGTTATTAACCAAAGTGAGCCGCAAGTCAGTCCCAAGGCGGAGAGGGGGTGGGGTGGGGGGCTGCGGAGTGAAGATCAAGCAGGAGGGGGATGGGGCCTACCATGCCGACCAGCTGGGGCTGGCTGCCAGCCCTGGAGGACCTGGGACAGCGGAAGGGGCCTCCTGCACTCCATCCCCTGCCCAAGTATACTCAAGACACAGGAGTCCCCCCACCTGAGTGTGACGCTTGATTATCCTCAGGAAAACCTCAGAGAGGCCCGCTCCAGAGTGCCCGCTCCAGAGTCCCCGCTCAGCCCCGGGCCCCTGGGAGGTGGACGTCTGGGGGGCGCAGAGGAGACATGCAAGGGAAGGAGAAGGCCGAGGGCGTGCAAAATGAGGACCCAGGCCTGGGAGGAAAACGGGGAAGCCTGACCCAGTAGTAGGGCGAGAGGAGGGGCTGGGGGAGACAGTCCCCTTGGGCTGGAGACCCCAGAGCTGTGGGCCAGAGGCAGGGGTACAGATGAGCCTGTTCTCATTCAGGACCCTCTGAAAAGCAAATCCGCACGAGGCTCCCCACGGAGATTTTCTTTCTGTGTATCTGGAAATCCTTCCACGCTGACGGATTCTGGGCTGGAGAGGCGAGCGGCCGCGCGGGGAGGCAGGGTGGGCTGAGCGCAAGCTCCGGGAGTCCAGAGTCCAATGGATGGATGGTGGAGACAGAGAGGCCTTTTCTCCCTCCCCAAACTCCCTCCAAGCCCGGCAGAGTTGCTTCCGGAAGGTCTTCGGCCCTCCTCTCTCTCTCCCACTCCCTGCCCCCCCCCCAAGGGGCTCCATCCTGGCAGGACCAGCTGGGCACCTGTGGTCCCCGCTCTGTCCTCCAGGAGCTGAGGGAGGAGGGCTCCGGGCCATCCCTTCCTTCCTTCCCAACACCCACCAAAGGAGATCAAAGGACTGTGGCCCCCACCCCTCACCCCTGGTGTGGAAAAAAAGTGGGAGGCGGGGAGCCATGCGCACATTTGCTGTGGAACTCTCCCAGGAGTCACTGGTGGCCGCTGCCCAGGCCTGCCCAGGCCCGCATGGCAGGAAACTGTGTAATGATGCAGGTTGGAGTTTTCCCGGAAGGAGAAGAACAGCATCTCCTGGGACCATGGCAGTCTGGGTACCAAACCCAAAAGCCGGAAAGAAAAAAACTGGGCCGACAGAGAACAGACTTGTGATCCCCGAGGATGGAGGGGCAGGGCCGGGCGGGGCGGAGTGGGGTGGAGGGATGGACTGGACGTTTGGGATGAGCAGATGCAAACTGTTACATACAGGATGGATAAACAACGAGGTCCTCCTGTACAACACAGGGAACTATATTCAATATCCTGTGATAAAGCATTGTGGAAAGAATATGATAATGAATACATACATACACATATATCTGAATCACTTCACTGTACAGCAGTAACACATTATAAATCAACTCTATGTCAATAAAATGAAATTTTAAAAAAATAAATAGAATGAACCGGGAAGAAAGAAAGAAAGAAACTGGGAGCGGTGCTGCCTAGCCGGACTAAGGCAATGTCCCCCACTCAGCCCTGGTTTGGGGAAGGAAGGACAGGGACCAGGAGGAGTGTAAACCCTGCATCCAGATTCTCACCCTAAGGACAGGCCTTCAGGGAGCCAGAAGACCTCTGTTACCAGCCACATAACCAAGGGTGGCTTCCTTAACCCCTCCAGACCTCAGTTTCCTTGGGGATGGTCACACCTCCCTCATGGGGTTGTACTTTGTCTCAAATGCAATCCAGATTTTCACCCTAAGGACAGGCCTTCAGGGAGCCAGAAGACCTCTGTTACCAGCCACATAACCAAGGGTGGCTTCCTTAACCCCTCCAGACCTCAGTTTCCTTGGGGATGGTCACACCTCCCTCATGGGGTTGTACTTTGTCTCAAATGCGGTGACATAGATGAAGCACTTTCCTACTACACGCCTCTTCCATACGGTTGGATGTTATTATTCTCATTTACTCCTGCCTCCACACAGGCCTAACCCCATGGTCTTAATGAATTCTTTAAAATAATCTGGAATGGAGAACTTCATTACGACCTTTAATACTATGAGGCGGATTTCCTTTATAGTGCTGTGTGTGTGTGCATGCTCAGTCATGTCTGATGCTTCGTGACCCCATGGACTGTAGCCCACCAGGCTCCTCTGTCCATGGGATTCTCCAGGCAAGCATACTGGAGTGGGTTGCCGTTTCCTTCTCCAGGGGATCTTCTCAACCCAGGGGTGTAACTCACGCCTCCTGCATTGGCAGGCATGTTCTTTGCCACTGAGCCCCCTGGGAAGCCCCTTCCTTCATAGGCCAGCAACTTGACTTCCTCTTGCTACAGGCTACCCAGTGCTCCAGCCCACTCTGGTCTTCTCAGGAAGCACTCCACAAGCTTCCTGAGTTGTCAGCCTCTGGACAGGGTCTGTGTCCTAGACCCTATGCCGCCCCACCTGGCGTGGGAGCCCAGGCCAGCCCCCTGCCCCTCACTGCTTTCCAACCCTCAATCTGGGGTCCCCAGTTCTTGCCACACTAAAGGGTCTGCTCCAGAAGCCTCCCCCACAGCTTCCCTCCCCATCTTTATACCTGCCCCCTCGCCATTTATATCAAACCACTCTCTCAAAATTAAACCAGAAGAAGGAATTCATTCCTTGTAATCAGCCATGTAACACAGTGCTACACAGAGCCAAGAATATTAACCCACCCTGCACTAATGTTAACAAACGTGTATTCTCATACACCTCTCCCCAGCTCTTGAAAACACATCCTGATGTATACTCATATGGAGGGTGGGCTTTTTTTTCACTTTTACAGAATTATGATATATTTCTCTTCTACTGATCCTTCAAGATCAACAGCTCCTTCTTTTAAATAGTTATACAATGTTTCTTAGACAACCATACTACAATTTATTTTATTTCCACCCATCAATGGACATTCAGACTTTTCCAGTTTTATTTGCGTGTCCTACAAATATTGTAATAAGGATTCCTGTTGAAACAACATTGTTTACTAGTATTTTTATTTCTTCAGTAGATCAGATCCCCCCAAATTTGGATTGCTGAACAAGAAGGT